AGGAAAAAGCGTTCCAGCTCTTTCTAACTCTGTTCTTACTTGGTGTGAGACTTTTGAAATGAATGCTAATGCACATTCAAAAGCAAGTGCCCTTTATTGCCTTTATTGTGGCCTGGAAGGATGTGTGACTGAGAAAAAAGCATTATGCAACAGTCTGGCTGTGTGTCACCTGTGTTGCAGGAGAGGTGTTGAACTTGAGCTGAGAAAGTAGAAAAATCCTACCCTGCTGTCCACTGCTTTCATACCCACATTGCAGGTGGGGCTGACAGAGTACAGTGGAGGCCCTTGCACTATTGGGACACAGCACAAGGAGAATGTTAAGCATGTTTTTAACTCGCCACCACCACCAAACAAAACCCCCCCAGAGACACACACTTTCTTGTTTCACACGCATCCGTCTGAACTCAAGAGAAGCTCTGGAAACATTTCTGACCTGTTCTCTGGCTAATCAGCTCTCTGCATCACTCTGACAGTCCTAATCCAGAAGTATACTCTGGTAAAGAGGTCCCTTCCATGTGTCTCTTGGAGGACTACCAGCTTTTCTGTTTCCCCTTCTTTCTGTTGTTATTACGGCAATCTGCATTGAGTGGGGAGGACTGAGGGTGTTCCAGCCCTATCAAATCATGTCTTGCTTGTGAGCATGCTCAGAGCTTGTTCCTTGAAGGCTAGATCTCCTCATATCTTTTAGCATGTTCTGTTAACCAGAGAAGCAACAGGGAGTGTTTCCTACTTTGAAGGACATTTTTGTTTTCTTTAGTATTTGTTTCATGACCTTCCTTGAAAGAGAAGCAAATAACAGCGGTCACAGTGTGAGTCTCTTTCTATAATATGTTTTTTAAAAACTTAATTTTTTTGCATTCATTTATATGAATTGAATTGGAAGGAGAAATTATGGACATCTTTTGCATGTGCTGCAGCAAACTCTGTATTAACAATTTTCCTGCATACACGCATTAAAAACTGCAGCAGCTGCTGCTGGATAGAGCAGAGCAGGGCAAGCTGACCTAAGCCAAATGCAAGTATTTTCCAGAGTATTTCCAGAACTGGTGTGTGGATCTGCTTCCAACAAGCCCCTTCCTAATTCCTAATCTCATGAATATGGAGTAATGGAGAGAAATGCTCTTGCCATTATTTCTATATTGGGTGCTTTTTGTGACTGTATTTGTCAATTTCTAAAATGAGAAGTTTGGTCTCTCTGCCCGTTTTTCATATCACCTTGACTGACTACCCATATTTCCCCAAAATTGGACAATATTATTCCTAATCTCAGTTATAAGAGGCTGTTTACAATTACTCTGGTGTGGTGAATTCTGCACATGACCAGAGATTATTACAAAGCCATACATTGCAAGTATGTTCTGGTGTGCCTTGGTTCAAATAAAGCAATAATCTTTCATCTGCTGGTTGGAGCATTTTGTTCTGTACTTTTAATTTAGAGGAAAGAAGTGTTTTATATAATGAAAAGTTAAATTGATTGGGGAGAGAGAGAGAAAAAAAGCATGCAACTTGTAGCAAGCGCTTCTTACATTTAAAAAAGTTTGAGTTTGTTTACTTTTTGGCAATGGATGTGTAGGTGTCATGAATATGTGAATTCAAAATCTTATGTCATGTGGTATGAAATAATTTCTAAATAAGAGGTATGGAGTCAATCTTGCCTGAAAATCATAGGGGCCCTCTTACAATGCAAGCTATTCTCAACTCCATAGATGTGCAGAGAATAACTGATGCTTTTTAGTGAGGAGATAGTAGCACTCAGCACACTTTCCTAAACAAGTCCTATTATAAGAAAAACAGCAAGGTGAAAAACTGCAGCCCTACCAAGTCAAAATGTTGCCAGCTGCCACTGGCATAGTACACAACAACCCTGCAGTATAGTCAACTTTTAACATTGCAAGTAACCTTTATTTGGATTTCCAGTCAAAATTCCCAGACCTTTCAGTTTGCAGCAGAGGCCAGTCATTCTGCTTAATTGACCCCTTAGGCATCCTCACAGGACAAATCAAACACTCAGCTGTATGCAGAAGACGCCTACTCTGTTGACTTGCCTGCAGACCTATTGCACTTTCAAATGTCCAAAACTTTTGTTAAAAAGCCATGATGTAAGACCCAAGCTGGACCATAGATTCATGTCTTTGATGCTGGGTTTTTTCCCCACAGCCCTGGGTTAATGCATATATTTGGTGCAAAATGTTGTTGCCCTGCTTGAGACCGATAGCAAATTCAGGTGCTGCATTATGACTGCTGTGTAGTGAAAGCAGAGTTGCTGATATTGGCATGCAGGTTTGCAGAAGCAGCAAAAATGACGAGGGGGTGGGCTTGAAAGGGCAATATCTCCCCTCCAAAAGTGGTCCAGTAAGGACTGAGCATGCTCAGTGGCCATAGAATATTGAGGGTCTGTTGAGCAGGGGGAAAGAATGAAAATCTGGAGGAAAGGGAAATGCAGTCTCCTACAGCTGATTGCAACATTGAACAGGAGCACTGCAAAATGTAACATTAGTTGTTGTTTACAGGTTCCCCTAATTCCGGGTGTTCCTTTGCTTGAAGAATAAGCTTTTTGGTCTGACCTTGTTGCATTGAAATTGGCCCTAATGTTCATTAATATCAATGGCGGTTTGCCTTAAGTGTGCTGTTGGGTCCTTGGAGAGCGCTACCATTTGGCTCTACGGCACTGTGTTTTGTTTCCCTTGCTAGATTGCTGTGCTTTGAGAAGAGAGCAATTATGTGTTTCTTGTGGGATTGCAACCATGGTGAAAAATCTGGAAAGTTACTCATTAGTGGCAAAGAAAAGGTGAAAAAAAGAAAAGACAATGCACTAGGGGTAGAAATATACGTTCATGGATCATGCTTTCACCCACTGCCTCCTACTTCACCCTTGTCCAGCTCAGAACCCATTTAATTGTAGCCTTGAACTATCAGGTCTTAAACCTCTAGTGTAGCCAAATTAAATACAACTACTTCTAGGTGCCTTGCTCATTATGTGTCCTGAGCATCCCAATTGTATGGTGCACCTAGGATGTCTGCTTCTGAGTCTCTGTTTGCCCCCATGTTAGCTTGCTGGTACCCACACCCAGCCAGCAGTGACTTATTCACACATGGGAAACATCACAAGAGTAACACATGCAACAACAGTGGCAATCTCTTTTATAGCAAAAAGATGCAGCTACCCACCAATGGCAGTTTTGCTCACAGGCATCTCGTGTAACAAGCACACAGTAACAGCACCAATCAACAGGTAGCAATTTGTCACTGTAGCAAGCCTACTAACAGTTCCCAGCTGTCAGGGAGAGTTCTAGGCAGAAGGAACAATAGCAGTCACTCTGCCTACCCTCATATTTTTCTATTGCTTTTTATTGTTTTGATATATTTTACCCTTTTAATGTTCATTGCGCAGCCCAGGGAACGTGTGTCGTTTCGGGGGGGGGGCACTATATAAATATAGCCAAACAAAGTGAGCAATGTACAGCTGACACATTTAGGCAGCTTAAATAGCCTTCCTAGAGTTCTTATTTCAGGAGAACATTTTTATGTCGCATTGGAAGTTATATGCTGTTTTCCATCAATACACAGAGGCAACAATACAGTTCAGTCAATGCATATGATTAACAAAACAAAGGTACCAAAGTCTTGGGGAACACCTTTTGGCTTCTGCTTTCTTTGGCTGCCCTGATACAGTTAAAAGGGTGCTGTAGCTAAGGGTTTGGAGACTGAAGCATGCTATGTGATCTCAGGTATTATCTTCTGGCTGAGGCTACGTGGCATTAAAGTGTAAACGGTAAACTTGTCTGAAGTGCTGTCTGATGCTTCAAAATTTGTGTGTATCTATCCCAGTTGTAAATAACTGAGCCATGTTTATTGGTATGGCTCACTTTCCCACTCAGTCCTTCAAGTACTTTATAAAAGGAATCCAGTCCAAAAGCAGAGATAAAACACCAATATAAGCCACTCAGAATATTAACACACAAGAAGAGTCAAGCATCTAGGAAAAGAACAAGAATGGGAGCCAATAACATGGGCTAGAATGGCAGAATCACTTGAGATCAAAGGCAAAATAGAATGGTCATGGTTTGATGATACAGTTGTAATATATGGACGGCATATTAGTTAATAATTTTAGCTAGTACACAGTGATTCTGTTCATTTTCATTTCCTGATGTTTTAAGGTTAATAATCTTCTGAACTAGCATAGAATTTCTAAGATGTTGGCCATAAATGTTTATTGAGAAATATCCAACAGCATATTGGATTTGTGAAATTACCTTGTGTTGCACAGCACCAGGCACCTTAAGATAGGTTATGATAATTGTGACATTAATTGATTTTCCAAAAGCTACCCTTAGGCTAGGCTGCAACAATCTTGGAACAAATTAGCTTTGTAGAAATGCATTTCTGTCCTCCTCATTTTGAGGAAGGAATTATGTGAAGGGCAATTAGCTTTCTTATTGGAAGAGATCACCTAAGTGGAGGCCTGACTCCAACCCAGGCTGCCAAGAAGGGTAGAACGTTACGACATTTTTAATGTTGACTTTCTGCTGAGTTCAGCGTTGAAGTTGAGCTCTGCTATAGGAAAGTGTTGGGAAGTACTATCTTTGGCAATTAATAGTAGCCATGGGCACCACTACAAACAGTCAGAAGATGGCACGCAGGAGAGTGAGTGGGTGGATAAAGGTCAGATAAAAGAAAGGAACTTAGAAAATGAAATCTTTGACATGATTTCAAAGGACACTGTCTGTGTCAATCTGCTGGTGAGACTTTAAACATATCCCTCTCCTGAAAGAGGAGCACTTCCAGAACTGTGGATTATTAATTATTATTAATGATTAACAATATCATTAATAATTAATGGTTATAATAAATCAATAAATCTATTATTATTATTATTTATTTTACTGCCAGGAAGGGAGTCAATCTTGAAATGATTGACTTTATTATATATAATAGCTTCCTATTGGTACTTAGAGGATTATTTTTCATCCCTCCCTCCATTTGTTTTTTGCTTTCAGAAATGATGTGTGAAGTGATGCCCACGATAAACGAGGACACCCCAATGAGCCAAAGGGGGTCCCAGAGCAGTGGCTCGGACTCGGATTCTCACTTTGAGCAGCTTATGGTGAATATGCTAGATGAGAGGGACCGTCTCTTGGACACACTTCGAGAGACGCAGGAAAGCCTTTCTCTGGCCCAGCAACGCCTCCAGGATGTCATCTACGATAGAGATGCTCTCCAGCGGCAGCTCAACTCTGCACTGCCCCAGGTACGTTGGGTGTCCATACATTCCCGGTGATTTTAACTCATGAACATTGCGTTTGCAGCGCATAATCTCAATGGATAATATATGCATTCCTTAAAGATCCAGTGTAAGAAGCTACAAAGCACTTTTTGTATGGTTTAACTATTGGACTTAAGCACTGACACTTAGTGTGCCTAGTTATATATATATATAGGTTCAATAAGAAGGAAATTGAGCCCTTGAATGTGCAAATTGCCTCTGGTTCCATCAGAAAGTCATATGCCTTGATCCAGAGCTTTATATGTGCTCCAGTGTGCAGGTGGAACTACTAAGCACTTTAAGCAGTCTTTCTCATTCCCTTCAGTAGAAAGGAAAGCATGTCAATGCATCCCTTTGTAGGCATGATGCTACCCTTACCTCTGAAATGAATGGCAAGACCTTACAGATGGAATGGGGCTGCCCTGCACATGTACTCTGCACATTGGATCTCTTCTACTTAACAGGTTTGCTGGGTTTAGATGACGATCGCTGCATTTCAAGGTTTACTTTAAACTTAGGTGCTGCAAGACAGGAAACAACATGAATGTATCTATCGATTGATTCAGGGACAGTGTACAATCTAATATCAATGCAATACAAACATAAAAGTCATAAAAACTTAAGCCAATTAATAGAACGTACCTGGTAAATTAGTCTAAGGGAAAGGATGCTCTTCATCTGAGCCAAATCAGGCATAGGGTAGCCTAACATCAAAGCCATGCCAATGCATGCCCATCCCAAAGAAAAGCATATTGGGAAGTTTGGAGAGCAATGCAGCCCCACTGCCCGTTGCCCGCCACTACTGCACACAATGTCACAAACGAGTTTGCAAATATATTTCCCATGGAAATAGAGGCATGTATTCAATTCTTGGTAACTCTACTCAAGCTTTACCTTCCAGCTTTTCCACTGACTTTTTTTAAAAGCTCCCTGATACTATTTATATCAGAGCCTCAAAGCTACAGTCTTTAAGATGCAGTTGCAAACCACATGCAAGCAGTTGCAAAATGTAAAGGCACTTCTTACATATAGCAAGGAGCACAAGTCTCTTTGCTGAGCTGTTTCTACCCCCTTGCTTTGATCTTGCAGCATTGCAGTTGCATCAGACATCAAGTTGCACAGCGTCAAAACCCTTCCCTTCCCTCCCTCTGCTGCTTCCCATTATACAGCTGCTGGGCAAGGGCGGTGGTCCCAGGGGTCAGGTGAAATACCTGCTTTCACAGGTGTCTAGAAGAGGGAGCATCAGTGAATCCAGATGCAGCTATCCCAACAGGACAAATGCTATGCTGGAAAATGCTTCTTCTATATCCCGCTTAAAGGTTTAAGAGCCCTGTTGTCCTGTGTTCCTCATGCACTCTGGTCCCAAAACAAACATACTATGGTGGGAAGGAAAGGACTGAGTGTATTTAAACCATGTCTGAGTGTCTAGAGGTGTCCAGCATGGGCTACAAGGGGCTGGAGGGGGAAAAATGTTTCCCTTTATTTATATGGGTGTACAGATCTCGAGATAAACTGGAAATAACCAATGATGGAACAGAAGAAGAAGCGTTCTGAGCAGTGAGCTGTTGGCCCAGGCCTTGAAGCAGGGTGGGTAGGTGGGGACAATTGTCCTTACACAGAAAACTCTTGGGACTTCGTTTGGAGAGAAATGGAGGTGCGTGCCCTCCAAGTCCCAGACAGCCTTACTTCCTGGTGGCATTTTCTACTCCCAGGTAGGAGAAGCCTGTATGATTGGCAGCAGGGATGGAAAGACAAGCTGGATAATAAATTGGGGACAATGAGATCCAGGGGATATTAAGAACCAATAGTGGTGGCAGGACTTGCAGAACTCAGAACATATACGAGTAGATGAGACAGACCTCTGGGCTCCAGAAAGCAGAGAGGAACTGACAGTAGATCCTAGGGATAGGGAACAGTGTCTAAACCAGGGAGCCCCAAACTCGGCCCTCCAGCTGTTTTGGGACTACAACTCCTATCATCCCTAGCTAACAGGACCAGTGGTCAGAGATTATGGGAGCTGTAGTCCCAAAGCAGCTGGAGGGCCAAGTTTGGGGGTGCCTGGTCTAAACAGAGTTCATAACTCATTAACAATTGTTGTGCATACATATCATTCTGCTATGCTTTGCTACAAGTTGCAAATCAGGAAGCCAGCAACACACGAAGCTTGAATATAGGAACTTAAATCAGCTAAAGGACACAATTAATTCTCTTTTTTTTAAAAAAACCCCAAGATAAGACCCTTCATAGGGAAGTCAAGGACATTATAATGATTTTCTTAAAAAAAAACCTAGGCCCAGAAAAATGGTATTTGGGCACTGCTATTTGTGTTCACAAATCGTGTGACTTAAGGCATGTCTGGATGGCAGTAACAGCTGGACTTTGATCATTTCTTACTACGTTCTGTCTTAACCCCAGGCAGCAGTGGAATCCTTAAAAAGCACACGTGCCATTTCTTGAGCCATGTAGATGAAAGGGTGGAAGTTTGAAACTTTGCAGTACGCCTTAGGATTCCTTCCTCTTCCTACCTATTGTCTTTGAACTTCACCTTGCCCAAACAAATGGAACCTGATATTCTTTAGCCACCTGTAGAGACCAGTCTCTTCCTGTGCATTGTAGTCAGTGGTTATACAGTGCCATCACAAAATAAGGCAGGCAAAATATGCTGCTGGTAAATGTGAAGCCTGTTTGGCAATGTTTGGTAGCACTTGACAAAGAACACCTATTAATTTGGTCCCACCCCTCAGAAAAGTGGGCTTATGTGTATGTCCTGAGGCTTGTGCTGCAATATTTAAAGCATGGAATAGGATCACATTTACAATCTGATGGAATCGGACGGTAGTGCAAAGAAAGCAGGAAGTACCTTCAATATAATTGGAGCAAGTAGAGTTATATTCTAGAGTGTATTATAACCATTTAGTATTTAATAAATATGGTAGGCAGCAATCTGCCCGTATTTAGTAAAATCTGGTATTTAGCATTTATTCTCAGGAGCTGCACATTATTTCGGATTTAGCAAGCACTTGAACTTTAGCAGGGATGGGTATACAGATCTTGATATATCCAGCTTCATTCCTAGTTTATTACAAAGGCCTGTTTTTAACCTTACTTATGTAATATGTGAGATGGCAAATGTTCCGCTATTACAGTTCTGGTTGAGTAGTTGCTGTGAATATAAATGGCTAATTTAAGAAACTGTATATGAGCTTTTATTTGGAATCAGTTAGTGAAGAAGGGATATGATCTTTTCCTTATGCAAAGAGACTTAGTTCTGATGCATACATATTCAACAAGCAAAAGACTGGCAAGAAATAGGATATTTTTTTTAAAAAAAATAGTTTTATCTTCCATGTGGAAGTGGTGCCCACTGGGAATGACAGAGCTAGACTTATTGAACTCTCATCAAATAATGATGCACATTTCAAATCCTGTCCTTGTTTCTTTACAAAATAGAGCTAGGCAGGATGAGTATCGTAATCTAGCACCAAACAGGTGGAGCATGTGGATTTTGTTACTTCTGGCAAAGAGAAGTGTTCAGAATCTGTGCTCATCTTCTTAGGGTTAGGGCCTGTTGGATCACACCAATGGCTCATCTAATCTAGTGTTGTGTTCTCTCAGTGGCCACCCAGATGCCCCTGAGAAACCTGCAATTAGGACCTGAGCACAACAGCACTTCTTACCTTGTGGTTTTTGGCAACTAGTATGCAGAAGCACGGGACGCGGGTGGCGCTGTGGGTTAAACCACAGAACCTAGGACTTGCTGATCAGAAGGTCAGCGTTCAAATATCCGTGACGGGGTGAGCTCCCGTTGCTCGGTCCCTGCTCCTGCCAACCTAGCAGTTCGAAAGCACATCAAAGTGCAAGTAGATAAATAGGTACCGCTGCAGCGGGAAGGTAAACAGCCTATCCGTGCGCTGCTCTCGTTTGCCAGAAGCAGCTTAGTCATGCTGGCCACATGACCCGGAAGCTGTCTGCGGACAAACGCTGGCTCCCTCAGCCAATAAAGCGAGATGAGCGCTGCAACCCCAGAGTCGGTCACGACTGGACCTAATGGTCAGGGGTCCCTTTACCTTTACCTTTATGCAGAAGCACACTGCCTCTAACCATGGAGGACAGAACACAGCCATTGGGTTTGGTAGCCAATGATACCCTTATTTTCCATGAATTTGCTGGTCTTCTTTTAAAGGTGTCTGAATGGGTGGCCACTGCCCAGTGGCGTAGCGTGGGTTGTCAGCACCCGGGGCAAGGCAAGTAATTTGCGCCCCCTAACCCTAACCCCCAGATGTTGCGCCTGGTGCGGCCGGCCCCCCTGCACCCCCCACGCTACGCCACTGCCACTGCCACCTCCTGTATGAGCAATTTCCATCCTCTGTGAATTCATCCGATCTAGATATTACCGTATGTGCTGATTTCTGCCATTTTGTTTACAGTGGTCTACTAGACCAGGCTGGGGAGACTCAGGCATGGAAACAAAATGCACCCCCCTGAGCATAGGTGCCAACTCCTAGGGGCCAAGGCAGTTTCGGCCCCCAAATGCATTTTTGGAGGAGGCCGCCCCCCTCAATTTCCAGAGGGCATTTGGCTCTGCCCCTGGCTCCTCATGACATCAATGTCAGGATGTTTCACAATGGCATGTTGGGTCCCCCCAATCCTCTGGCGAAGCCGGCACCTCTGCCCCCACGACCTCTCCCTTCAGCCATTGTGACTCTCCTTAGGCTCCACCCCTCTCCCTAGGCTACACCCCCCACAGACCCTGTCCTGCATTCTCCTCAATTGCTTTCCCCATGACTGGAATGTGTCCTTGAATTTTCATAATATGCCTTGCCACTTTGGATGGCTGAAGATGGAGAGATGTATGTGTGTGTAGACTTTTGCATGGCTGGAATGTCCTCTGCTGTACAAAGGTAAGATTCATATCCATTGCTCTGCCTCCTTTTGCCTCTGCTCCCCACTGACACATGGCTGCTGGAAGGTTGACCATGAGGAAC